TCCTTCTCCCTGAGAGCGAGGGGGCGTTTATGAATTTACCCTCTTGTCCGTTTTAATATCTGTGAGGAGCTGGTCTTGGATCAGTGAGCTCTAACTGGCCTCTTGACTGTCATGTTTTAAAAAATTCCCAAGTCTCTAAACCATGTGACTCAGAAACGTGAACGGAGCCTCTGGGCCGTATATCTGTACTTGTCCCTCTTTTCCGATTTCATCTGCTGCGCATTTGTGTCATTTTGTAGCGAGCATGGAGGGGAATGCAAATCAGCAGAGAGGTATTGTGGAGGAAGAAGAGCGCTAGGAGGTGGAGGATGAGTGGAACTTCAGTTGCATAGGAGGAAAACACAAATTATTCACTACTGAGAAATAATTGGCACAGTTCTAAGGTCCCAGGGCTTCTTTTCTTTTTCTTTTGGCTAAACTTTATAGTCTCTGAAGTGAAAACGCCTTCGCTGCCTTTTTCAAGCCCCTATAAAGATGGTGGAGAAGTTAAAAAGAAAGAAAGAAAAGGCAAACAACCTTTCTTTGTGTAGGACTCAGTCATTCCTGAGAGAATAAAAGTTTCATTTGCTGCTTTTCATTTTTGCAACAGTGCCACACACACCTTTGCACTCATTCTCAGTGATCTCCTTAAGTAAGTGTTCTCACCAACCTGTACGCAGACAGTTGTCATTTTGTGATGGATGGTCTTTACACCAAGCTGAGGTCGCTATCTTCATGCGTGACCCCAATCCTCTCAAACAAAGGCGACGGCCGTAAAGGAGAAGCGAGCTTCATTAATTATACCGCTGCATTGACCTCAATTAAGACTGATTAAGGCCATAAGATGCTTGTCGGCACACGCCTCAGTCTTCATCTGTAGCACCTTTCTGCTGACCTGGCAGCCATAGTAATGGGCTGTTATTATGATTAACTGTCCAGTGTTCACAGTGGTGTCCTCTGACTGTGATCATACAGTCACAGTGAACCCAGTGTAGTTCATGACATCAGCCACAAATGGCAATCCGACTGATCGCTGATGTCCTGTTAGAATCAGGAGACTGTGATGATGGTCAAGATGCCATCTTACATCTGTGCTCGAATCAAAACAATCTGAATAGGTAAGTATTAAAACTTTAGCAGAGTTGAATAACAAGAACATGAGTGTGACCTGGTTTTTTATTTTGATCCCTCTCCACTCATACTTCAGTGCTTAATCAACTTCCAATGAAATCAAAGCCATGTGTATCATTTTCCATTCCAACAAGAACTGTTATTCATACGAGCGCTGAGCTCGACTGTAATATTCATAGTGTCTGCGTGTGCCCCTCTGCTGCCCGTGCAGAAATGCTGTCGTTAGGATCATTTATGGAATGGTAATATCTTAATCTGGGTTAGGTCTGGTCAAGAACAAGGTCTTTGGCAGTATTAACACAACTTAGCAAAATAGCAAATGAGCCAGTGGCTTGAAATATAACTTTGCCACCTGTTGCGTGCTGCTTGTATCCTTGTATACAGTGATCGTGATCTTATTGGCATGATTTTATGTAGACACGTTGAGACGTGCACTTTTTTTTTTTCTATATTATTTCTAATATAATTCAGACTTCAGATCAAAGTGGGCTGTACGTGGCCCACGATGCAAAATTAGCTTGTAGTTAAAGTCTTGGGGATGATTGACTCACAGAGCAGACGGGAACATTAGGCAGGAGTGGATTTTGATGTTAGATTGACTTTTTTTGGGTGACTTTCATTGTACTGTGCTATCAAACACTATCAGTCTTTCACTTTTATTTCCCCCGTTTGCGCCGGAAAACACAAGTCTGTTATAGATAAATGACTCATCTTTTTTTTAAGACTTTCAGGGCAGAACATCTAAAGATCCATCTTGGCCACTGACATGGATAAATGTCACGTTTTTTGGCGATGGCCAGCACGGCCATGATAATAAACACCCTCTGGATGTGATCTGAGTTTTTCCTGTTCACAGATCTCTACAAGCCGACACAGTGATGCAGTCGTATGACAGAAAATGTATTTATTTATTTTCAACTGATCACCACAATGATGCAACATGATTATTACTGCAGGTGCTGTGATGCTTCTTATCTATTCGTTGGTTCTGAGACTACAAAGATCCGACCAAACGTTTACTCTGCGATGTCATGTAAACTGTCAGACAATGACACGGTATGTCAGTGTGTCCTAATGAGCAGGCTGCATGCTCTGTGAACAGAGGGGCAGACGATGTCATGCTGCACATTTAGTTTTGCTCTGTCGTTGCAGTTACATTCCACCATAGCAGCTGGAATAAACCAGACAAGGTTTGGAAATTAAAAATAAACCCACTGCATTAAGTTTTACGCGTGTGTTTTTAAACTTAGAGCAGTTCATTCATCCTCATAATGCCATAGCAGCACTGACAGGGACAATTAGTAGGGACTGGTAGAGATACGAGGACAAAGGATGAGAGAGAAAAACTTCTTTACAGAAATGGGTTTTACCAGCTCCTCAGCTTCTATTTCATAAAACATTCCCTGTCATCACCACCTTCCTCTTAGACAACCTGTTTATCAGTAACTTAAAAACCCCACAAAATGCTTCAGTGTTGAGTATAAAAGCCTAATAATCAAATATGTAACAGCATGAGGAAAAGCATAAGAGGGAATTTATAAAAAAAAAATCCAAGATACTGTAGAAAAATGATGAAAATGGGTTTGAAACACTTTTTTTTTTCTCTCTCTCCAAGCTTTTTAAGTGTTTCAAAACCAATAGTCCAGCAAGTGCTCAGCCTTGAGTTTAAGACAGAAATCAGCTGCTCGCTACGTTGAAGGAAAGTTTGCAGGAATGCAACGCATCTCGAGCCAGAGGAAGCGTTAAGATATTATAATGGTCATTAAAGCAAACAGGTGATCGGATGAGCTTCAAAGACTTGGAGCTACTTTCACTTCTTTCTTTGCTGCTTCCTTTTATTCAATTTTAATCTTCTCCCTTCCTCCTCTGCTCCTGAGTTCCCGTTTGCTCACTCAGACTTGAACTCCCTTTCCTCCATACTTGGCTTCACGTGCGTCTTTAGAAATCAGAGAGGAGTAATTGGCCATTTTCACCACATCACTTGGTTGAATTACTCTGATTGCTAAACTCCACATTAGCATTCATTTAGGGCCGTGGGCTCAGACCCACACGCTCGCACACTTTGTCTCTAACTTTAAATGGACACGTCTTTGTTGTGGGAACGTGTAAGATAGGGAGACAGTTAGACAGAGACTGCAGGTCAGATAAACACAACTCCATTAACCTGCCTCCTTGCCAGGTCTCCTGCTGTCCGGCTCGCACGGTTCTGATTAATGAGGCTGATTCAGGAGTCTTGACTTCTCTCTGCAAACACCCTTATCCAATCCCTCACCTCCCTCTCCCCTCAAGCCTCTTCACCACCTTCTTTTTGCCCCAGTTTATCCTTTACTTTCATCTTCGCACTTCTGGCCGCACATTATTCCTCCTCACGAAAGCGGTGATGCATCAATCATGTGGATTTGTGTCGTACGGCCAGGACTCATAATTTACCACAAAGAGGCTGTGCAGTCCGAGCAGCGAGCTCTTCAAGCATCGATCTGGTCAGCTGATTAATGACTTTATGAAAAGGATGCCGACTGGACACGGAGTTGAGCCGGTGTGAGTTGTGACACATTGTCCTGGCATGTATTCATGGATTCTGCTGCCTGTTATAACCTGATTTTCTCTATATTTACTCTGTCAGCTTCCTGCTTCCACTGCAGCCTGTATCCTGGCTGAGATATTGGCCTTCACCAAGCAGGAAAGATTCAGCCTAACATCTTTGTCAGGACAGAGTCTCAAACACCTGCAACTCGCAGCCCTCGCTGCGAGACGAGCAGCTTCCCAGCGAGGGCTGCTTAATGCACGTGAAAGGAAGAGTTTATTGATTTGCGTTTTGTCCAGGCTTTAGACCCATGTTTACGCGTGCGCGCACGTGCAAGCGTGCATGATGACAATCTGTGGCACGCATCACGGAGGCTGAACAAGCAGAGGTTATGTGTCTGAGTGCTGGTGAGTTAAGATGCCGGCGGTTCAGCGCTGGTGTGAGGCTCCCATCTGCCCTCCAGATTCAGCATTATTGCAGACAGCCAGAGCACCTCTCCTGCGGTTAATGGAGCTTGAACAGAGCAGAGAAAATAGAACACCTCATTCTGCACCATGTTTAGGTTCAAGTGTAGGTCAATGATAATAGGGAACACTGCCAATATCATTGAATTATTGAGAGTGATTATGAAAGACGGCACAGGCTGCTTCTGTTTTGTGTGGCATGTCGGAAATTCCTGTTGATTAGCCATTAGGGCTGTTAATGCTAATTAATCATTCAGTGTCATTTCATGTGAACATCTCCTTTAGGTTTCTGTATGTATGTGGAGTCATATTATTATAAAGGAGCACAGTGTCATATGTAGGGGTTTGCTGCTGTGTACCAGGAACTCTGGTCGTGTCCTTTTCAGATTCTTTTTATTTTTTGACGTGACCACCAATACCACAGTCATTTAACCATGATGATAGTGTTAATTGGCCATGATGAGAGCCTAACCAAGTTTTTGCTACAGTTCAGATCAGCTGATCTCAAAGCTGACCCTCAGTTTGATGCTCCTTTTGCACATTTAAAAAACACAAGTACAGCGATGCTTTTTAGGTTGCTTCTTACTCTGGCCAGCTTATGCTTTCCAGATATGTGCACAGAGGTGAATTGTGGGATCTCTTTTAAATATAGTGGTACTGACTGAAAGTTATCAGGAAGCCAAGAGGGAAAAGGTTGAAGAGGCAAATGAGAAATGCACAGTTGTCCATCACAACCAGAGTGTGGCTCTCTCCCAAACCATTTCGATAGGGGTCTGGTTTAATTAGGCCAAAATGACTGTTTGGTACCAAGATGGCTGCCAAGTAGGAAAACTTTCTTAAAGCTCTTTGGTGATTGAACAGAAATCTAACTCGTGCTTGTTCCCTTTCTTGTCTTCATCTAGATGTGTCGTGGCTGAACTGGTGTCTAACTGGCTCCTGTCTCTTCAGCCTCGTCCTCATCCTCTTCTTCAGGGAGTCCTACGATCGCCTCTACCTGGACGTCTTTGTCTCTGTGTGACACTATGAGGATGCAAATGTGCAACCGAATAATAAAGGACTAAATGATAACTCTTGCACAACGAAGATGAGAAAAGGGAGATGAAGGGCAAGTGAACCACCTGCGCTCTTTTAACATGTAATGTTTTAGGAATAAGCGTGATCTCAATGTTTACTCTTTATAGGTGATCGACTCAACGCCATATGACTGTTTAACTCGTTATTACCTCCTTTTGTCTCAGTGTTTGTATGTAAACGAGCTTTTGTGACGGCTTGAGTTTTCTTTACCGGGTACAGCATGACGGACGGTTGTTTATTAACTGATGATGTAACATTTAAAGCTGTAATCAGTGTGCCCCCCCCCCCTCTTCCCGCCTTCCTGCCATGCGGCTGTTTGCATCCCTCCTCCTGATCTGATCATCATCCCTGCAGAAACTGGACACGCTCAAAATTACTGCACATCACGTTTACTACAGATCTGCATCAGAGGTGTGCCCCTAACGAGGGTGGAAAGGAAACGTTTCCTCAGCCAATCAGCAGGCCTGGCTGTACTGGATCTCCTGGTGTTGTTGGCTGTTGCAGATGTGCTCGTGGTGAGTTTGCCTGTAATATTGCCTGTCAGTGAGAGGCAGGGACTCGCTCCCTGTTTTATCAGCCTCTCGAGACGAATCTCATGGAAAAAAAATCTCCCAGATTTCGAGACATGGGCCGGGATCAGACACACCTGGAGTGTTCTACCAATCTGCTGCACATGTGGAAGAAATAAAATGCTCTCTGTGTTCTGCCTGTTTATAGATAACTGTATCAATTTCTGGGAGGTTTGCTTTTTAATTTGACGTTTGTTTGGGGGGTTTTTTTTGTTTTGTTTTTGTTTGTTTTTTTTGATCGTTTTTATTCATTTGTTTCCTCAGAAATCTGCCAGTATTTACTGGAAACATCTCAACACTAACAAAGCTAAAGAGTTAAAAAAGAAAAATCATAACAGGATGAAAATTTCAACCCCTGCTAAGATCCACAAAGATGAGACAGGTTGTTTTATTATACAGACTGGATTACGCAACATTTGAATTGCCAAGCTGCTGGTCTCCAAAGCACCAGCGGGTGTTTTGCACCAAACATCTGTCACTTACGTTTCTAACTTGTTCATGTTTGTGTCTTTGCCTTGCACATCACTTATGACAGAAGTGTTTGTGTTTTCCTTTAGGTCCTCTAAACGGTTTCCTGGTGCTTTTTTGTCTTTTTCTTTCTTTCACACTTTTTTTTTTTTTTTTTTTGTGTGGGGGGGGGGGGAAGGGACGTGTTGCCTTAATTGCCCAGTGCAGTGCGTTCAGCCTCCCTCTCCTCTACACTGTGACTATTTTATGTGTAAATTTTGTAAAAGGTCATGTTGTTCTGTTTTGTGGCACACGCTCTGGTCACACTGTGGTGTCCCGGGTTTTGGTGATAAATGTTCTGTGGAAAAGAACAAACATGACTGTCAGATATTTCCAGCACCTTATTAAAGAGCATTTTACAAATAATACTGCTGCTGTTCTCCTATTGTTATGCTAATAAAGGTTATTGAAAACATACCTCTGGATAACTTGTAGCCACCTGACATCAATTTGTGCTTCCCAGAGTTAATCTTTGATTTTAGTTTCTTTGGCCACTGACCTGTTCATTTGTTGCTTTTTTTTTTTTTTTCTTTCACATCAGTCGTTCTCTGACCTTTCCCCAGAGGACACTTGCCTTTGTTCAGAAGCAGATGTTTCCTGTGCTGTGCGCTCACACAGCTTTTTCAAACACTGTGTCCCTCTCACTTTAACGCACCCTGTTTAGGCTTTACATACATTGCACTGTGATCCTTAGTCAAAATGGAGTCTTCAACATTTTGGATCATCACTTGTGCTCCATGCACATGCTAGTATGTATACAAAACACGAACCATCGCTCATTGAAGTCTGTTTTGAAATCTCGATATATATATATATATTTTTTTAGCATGTTCTTGGGTTGTTTACAACCGTTCTATCAGTTCACAAGAACTGATAGTAGTAGTTATCAACCCACTTTAGCAAGTATATTTGGCAAGGTGCAATTATAAATTGTATAAGCTGAGTCACAAAGATGCAGACCAGCTAGTTATTGTAAGAAACATGCAGGTAAAATGCAAAACTAAAGCTCACACTAGGAAGTTGTTTATAGAAAGTAAGTCATGTTATTTAATATAACTGCATTAAACATCTCTTCTCTGAATGCAGAACTTATTATAGCTTGAAGCAGATTTCAGTTCAATTCGATTTAATTTTATTTATACACCACTAATTCACAACAGCAGTCACCTCAATCGCTTCGGTTGCTTAAAATTTAAAAATAAAGGCCTTACAGTAACAAAAATCTCCAACAATCTAACAGTTCCCTATGACCAAGCATTTGGCAGCAGCAGGAAGGAAAATCTCCCCTTTAACAGTGCATATTACTGCAACATTTGGATGGTAAACAACATGAAAGCATGGATCCTGCTCTGCATCAACAGCCAGTAGTGCTGGTGGTGTGAGGGTATTGGGCATCTTTTCTTGCAACACTTTGGGCCTCTTAGCACTAACCGAGCATCATAAAGAGCCGCAGCCTGCCTGAATATTGTTGCTGCCCATGCTCATTACTTGTGAGTACAGTGTTCCCATCTTCTGGTGGCTGCTTCTGATAGGATAGCGCACAACATCAATTAATGCTTTTTATAGCATCAATCACAAATACTTGGCTTACACAGCTTGTCACACTGGAAAACATAAGATTGTGTTACAAATAAATATTTACTAACATAATAAAACATAAGTTTTCACGTCTTGAGTTGCAGAACTTTATGTGTTCACACTTGTATTGGTGATTGGGCCTTTAAGAAGCAGGTTGCATCACACTCTGGTGGGACCTGGACTTGTTTTCTGTTATTCTGGCAGCACAGCAACCTCCATGCACATCATCCTGAGGCAGGAGGAGAGGAAGCTCCCAGGAGGACACCTGCATTCTAGGAAATCTTTCAGTTTTCCTGCTTTTGTCTCTCTTTGGATAAAAATCAGGAAGAAGATGCTTCACCCATTACCTCACTGTTTTTAGAGCCTTACATTACATCCATCCTGCCTGCACGGTCCCCTCCCTCTGGTGGACCAGCTGGGGATGAGCTCATGCTCTGTTGCTGGCGAGAAAAGGTCTCTGGGGCGAGTGTGTATGCTACAGTCATCAGTCTGGTTCCAATTACTATGAGTGGCTCTTCGTGCGAACTAAAAGATGCTGCGATTTATCGAACCCTCTGTACAATATTATTCTGTTGCGAACTTAAAGCTTTGAGCTATTGCCATTGAGACTGGCAGGAGTTGTGACCTGAGCCAAGACCTTTATCAGGGGTCAGATTCACAAAGTGACATAAAAAATAAGTAAAATCAGATTTGATGGTTTTAGGTTGGGTGTGCCGTAAAAAATTATTGCATGGCATTTGAAGCAAGCCTGCAGGGACATAAAATGAGTCCACTTTACGTCCCTGCTGATCCATGATGATCTGTTTGGTTTTGAAGACACTACCACAGTTAAAATAAATGTGCCTTCTTATGCCTTTTTTTTTTTTTTGCTTTATTGGGAGTTTATTAACAAAGGTTCAGTTTTTTCCTCCTATCTTCCATCCTTTTTGTCCCCTGTGATTGGGCAAAAATTGGACATGACATAACACAGAGATTTATTTATTTTTTTCAAATTAATCAACAATGCAAATTAAGAAAACTCTGAGGTTATTAATTGATACATTTTTTTGCCGTGGGTGTGTTTGTTTGTTTATTTGCAGTATCAAAGTCCAAGAAATGGTTCCAAGGGAAGGTCGATTACTCGTTACAAGTGGTTGTCAAGCCAAACTCCCAGAGCTGTTTATATAAAAGCAGCTGTTGTTCAGTAAAACTTTATCATGAAACTGGAATGGTGTCCAAGCAGCCATTGTTGATGGTGGAGCTGGAGGATTTTAACTTCATAAACACAAGAACACAAAATCGATGTGCACATTGGGGACTTAATGATTCAGTCCCATGCAGAACTTGTGAGTTTGCTCACTTACAAAGATATCAACAGTCTCTGATTTTGTTAGTTTCTTTTTCATGGAGACGGAATATCAACCAGAAATCTCAGAAGCTTGGTGGGAAGATGAAAACTGTTTGGAAAATAACCTTCTAGGACCTGGCGTCCACGTCTGAGGACATCACATTTTGGGTTATTTAGACCAAAATACAGAATTTTGCTCTACAAGGGCCTGATATCCACTTACGAGGACATTATGCTGCCACTGAAATTTAAAACTAATGTCCTCATATGCGGATCTCATTTTTCTCAGAAACAAAAATCAGATTAAAAAAAAAATCAGGTAATTCTTTGTTTTTACATTCATCAGGTCCAAAATCAGTCCAAATATAGCAAAGAGAAATTAAAAATGCATGGCATGAAAGAGTTTGGATCTTAGGAGGTTAACGACATATAATGACCATAAGTCGCCATCAGTCTGCAGCTCCATGCCTAACATCACCTCATAGGGTGAGGACGATCATGAGAAAGGTGCTGGATCAGCCCAAAACTACACATGAGCAGCTGACTAAGGCAGTTGGGACCAGAGCCACCAAGAACTCCATGCTGTGCTCGACTGAAATCTAGCAGTTTCATAAAACCTGAGGTGGAAAAATATCAAATTCTGACTCTTGTGTGAAAACAAAAAAGAATCAGATCTCCAATAAGTTCAAGTTCAAGCAAAATCTTAACTTAGTGAAGTTTAAAATTCAAGTCAGGTTCAAAGAGAAGCTCCTGCAGGCAGAACACCACTGTTGAATACTTTTATTAAATCGGGTTTTAGCTAATGCAGAAATGACTAGCAAAGGGAGCAGATGTTTTATTCACACAGAGGGATGTTATTAAGGAGAAACCACTTTTGTCTTTTACAGTAAGGCCCGGGTTTTAGCTAACTCCTCTAACAAACACCGGGGGGAAAAAGCAGTGGCTGTGTTTTCTTGTCAGGGAGAGATTAGGTAATGACGCGTACATTTCACACTGTTTGCAAATGCAACACTAACTGTTTATTAACAGCCTTTCAGCAGCCGTTCAATTCCAATTTCTCCCCCTGGCTCGCTGTCAGTGTGGGACGTGGTGTCATGGCTCCGGGTCCTCTGGGAGCAGATGGGGGCCACACAAAGTGTAACAATAGTCGTCTTTTACCCACAAGCAATTTGGATATTTTGGCTTTTGTTGCTCAGCCTGTCAAAGGCTATGAAAGCAGCTGGCTGGCTGACAAAAACTGGTGTCACTGTTGCTGCGACTGACATTTTTATACCCTGTCCTTTGTTTTCTCCTCTCAGACACTGCTGCTGGTTACATTTCCCTGTTGTCTCTCCACTGAGACTCTGCTTGTTTTTCTCTCTCTTGTGACTCAAAATCACTGGTGTCTTTTCCTATCGTCGCACCTCAATGTCTCCTTGGGCCTCCCCGAGCTTCAAAAGTCCCTTAATTGACTTCTCCAGTATTATGAAAAATGAGCCACACTTTCAAATGGCTCATTTAGCACAATTGCTATCACAGTGCTACTTTATCTTCAACATATTTAAAAAGGAGCTAGGTGCTCTTGATTAGGAGCGATGGGCTGCAAAAGCCAGCGCTACCAGCGTTTGACAGCTGGCCACTAATTTCCCAATTCATCACAGGTGAATTTGAGGTATTTGGTTGCTCCTGTGGGGAAAACACAGCATACATTAAGTTATAAATATGACACAGGTATTTGTGAAAACCCTGAGACAGACTTGTAGGAGTTATAAAAGGCGCACGTGCCTCCAAGTGCACATGTAGCAGGTTGATTTTTAGAGCTTGCAGGGCGTTTTGTTCGCAGGTTTATGAGCTCCAACAGCTGCTGTGTGACAGCCATGTGTCCTGTGCAACATGTCAGACTCACACAGGCTTATTTAATTTCAGCGTACTGAACGGAAGCATCAGTTAAGTGCAAGCACTCAATACAGCCTCCCATACACGACAACAGGTGTGAGCTCATTTCAGTCCAAAGGATAAAATCTGTCAACGCAGACTTCATTTAATACGAAGCTTTAACAGAGGATATTTTCCTTTTTTGGACAAAATACTCCCTTTTGTGTACTTTTGCATAAACGAGAGCCACTTTCAAACCTGATGGATTTTTTAAAAATGACAACATCCATACAAATTGAATCGAATAATTCACTAAAGATAAAATATATTTTAAAAAAAACTGAATTAAAGGAGCATTTTAATCAGAGTATAGCATTAGTCAGTTAAACTTGTGGGATATTGATGTGGTCAGTTAAGTACCAGAGGGGGTTGTTAATCAGTTTCAGCTGCTTTGGTAGGCGCACTAGAGGGACAACAGTAACACAACCCCCAAAACAGGAATGATTTTACAGGCCTCTCACATTTGATCCCTCCTTAACTTTTCTGACTGTTTCTTTGCTATTTTTGCATTTGGCTAGGGCCAGTGTCACTGCTTACAGCATGAGGTGATACCCTGTCCCTACAGAAGTTGCACTGATAGTCCAACTCCTCCAAGATGGCACATAAAGAGGTTTGCTGTGTCTCCCAGCACACTCTTAGCATGGAGGAGATTCCAGGAGACAGGCAGTTACTGCAGGAGAGTTGGACAGGACCGTAGAAGGTCCTTAATCCATCAGCAGGACTGGTATCTGCTCTGGTCTTGCTGATGGGCAAGGACGAATAGGATGGACACTGTCAGAGCTTCAAAATGACCTCCAGCAGGCGACTGGTGTGAATGTCTCTGACCAAACAGTCAGAAATGGTTTTATGAGGGTGGCCTTTGGACCCCACATCCTTAGTGGGCTCTGTGTTCACTACCTGACACTGTGGAACCCGACTGGGGGGTACCAGAATCGGCTGGTCCACTGCCTTGTGCCCTATGCCTTCCACAGATAAGAGCAGGTTCACTTTGAGCACATGTAACAGACGTGAAAGGTTCTGGAGAAGCTGTGCTGCAACATCGTTCAGCATAACTGGTTTGGGTCTGTGATGGTGTGGTGAGGCATATCGATGGAGAGATACACAGACCTCTACAGGTTCGCCAACATTACCCTGACTGCCATTAGGCATCATGATGAAATCCTTTGGACCCATTATCAGACCCTATGTTGGTGCAGTGGGTCTTGAGTTCCTCCTGGTGCACAGCAACACCCGGCCTCATCTGGCGAGAGTATGCAGGCAGTTCTAGGAGGATGAATGAGCTGACACCATTGCAGCTCCTGAACACAATGTTTCGACCCATCCTGCACCAGCAGGTTGCACCTCAGACTGTCCAGATCTGGGAGGAGACCTCCCAGGATCATAAGTCATCTCATTATGCATACCCTAATGTTGTCAGGCACGCACGTACATTGGGGTCATGCAAACTACCAAGTACCATTTTGAGTTGCTCCAATGAAATTCATCCTGACACATAGTTTTTTTCTCTTTGGTTTTCAGGGTGTCTTTGAACTCAGCCCTCTGTAGGTTGATCGTTTTCATTTCCATTAAAACAGCGTGGCATCGTTTCCTAACACATCAGCCAGTATATTTCAGCATTACATACATTTTATAGGCACATTTTGCTTTGTATTGTAGCTTCCTAACTACCACGAGTCAAGCTGGCCAGAGCCAGGTGTTCTTCTTTTCACAAGTCTTGAACTTTTAAGTCTGCGGAGAGCAACTTGTATATTCAACAGAGTTTCAGAGGTGTTCTGAGAAAAAGGAGAAAAAGTAT